AAACCGGTTACCGATCCGAATGTTGGTCTGTGTGTGATCTGGCGTGTGTCTATAGATACCCGGGCAAGCAGCAGAAGAGAATTTACTTATTTTTTATCCTTCATCAACTTTTTTTCTGATGTGATCTGTTTCACTTTTGTTTGTCAGAGGACGATGTGGACTTGGAGGCCTTGGTTAATGATATGAACTCTTCGTTGGAGAGTCTGTACTCCACCTGCAGTAGTCAGCAGACCGAGTCGGCCCCGCTGCTGCATAATGGACAAAACTCTTGCTCGCACCACCATCACATCCAACACAACCAGCCACGGCAGCAGGTGTTTACCCAGGTTTCCCCGGAGCCGCCTTCCTCCTCCTCTCCGACCGCGGACCCACCCCAGACCAGCCTCCGGCGGTCACAGCCCATGCACATCCTCGCTTTCAGGTCGGTGTTTGATTTAGACTTGTGTTTTCTCAAACTTTTTTTATATTTCTTCTGCTTTCAAATCAATGCAAACCTTTCTAAAATCAGCTGTTTGACCTCCATTTTTTAAGTTTCAGCTGCTGGGAGAAAATTGGTGAAAAAGTCTAAGTGAAATTAAAATTACAAAAAATGTAAACATCTGATTTAAGCCAGAAGTGACTGGATTGCATTCACCTTTGACCCTCTTGAGAAACTTCCCACAAAGATCAAATCATTATGACCCACAGCTGAGGGCACTAGCAATTCAAGGTAGTTTTTGTTCCTTCTATTTTTCTTTGCAGGTGAAAATGAAATATTATCTAGACCCCATTCTTCTTATACTAAATTAACAACAAATTCATTAGATGTTTTGTTGTTTTATTAAGACTTAAAATCAGGATTCAGCATATATTTTAAAACGAAGCTACTGCGCCTTTGAGTACTTTAATGCACCCTATCAGTGACGTGTCCTTCCCTAAATCTGCTTTGCCACATCAGTGTCTCAAAGATCAAAAACAGTTTTGTTAGCGCCGTGAGATAAAGCTTCACATGTAAGACATTCGAAGGATGAGTTGATTAATGCCGGTGAGTTCACTTCGAAACGAGTGGGTTCATGGGAAGGTTGTTGGTGGGAAAATGTTAGACGCACCGCTCAGCAAAGAATGTCACATCTGGAGGATTGAAAACTTACTGGATTGTCTTATTTTTCTCTTTTACAAATTTAAAAGTTCTCCATGTTTCATCATCGTCATCATCATCAACTTTATTTATATAGCGCCTTCCAGCTGCCAGAAGGCAAACCAAAGTGCTGACCACGCATTAAAAACATCGCTGACCCATACAATGGTCAACAAAATAAGACATAAAAACAAATAAGAACAGATTAAAGCAGGAGATAAGAGCAACGAATGATAATAAAAAACAAGATAAAATAGATTAAATAAAACTGGATTAAAATTAGCTCAGTGATCTAAACATATGGCTAGCTCACATGCTGAGGAAACGCCACTGAATAAAAGTAAGTCTTCATCCAATTCGTAAAAACCGGCAGAGAGGGTGCTTGTTGGACCTTGAGTGGAAGACCATTCCACAGCTTAGGGGCCCAGACGGAAAAAGCCCTGCCTCCTCTAGTTGAGCATTTTGCTTGGGACAGCTAGTAGGTCTTGCTGTGATGAACTAAGCGCACGGGATGGTTTATATCGGGTGAGTAGCTAACTTGGAGCATACCTCTGCAGAGATTTGAAAACAAAAACAAGTATCTTGAACTGAACTCTGAAAGATGCTGGAAGCCTGTGCTGATTGGCTAAGACAGGTGTGATGTGTTCCCGCTTCCTGGTGCCGGTCAGCAGCAGTGTTTTGTGCAACTGGAGTCGATTGAGAGCAGACTTGCTAACTCCAGCGTAAAGGGAGTTGCAGTTGCATTATTTATTCAGTGTAGAGTTATGGGGTATATTTATCATTTTAGGCTTATGCTAGTATCACATGTATCACTTTCAGTAGTCTTCAATGGTAAAGGCTTCATGTCTCGTTACAGAACAAATAAGCAATTACATACAAAAAAGACAACAAAGTCCAGCCACACAATCTTGATCCAAAGGTTAAATGAAGCCTCTGGACTTCTTTGGTTTCTTGAAGACGTTTCGCTTCTCATGAGAACCTCATCAGAACCTCATCAGAACCTTTTGGATTACCATGACCTGAAAGACTGAGAACCTACTTCCCGTGTCCTTCATGTTGACCACAGTGTCCCATGTCCATGTCTTCTTATCTCAATGGCCTCCTTTATCCATCTTCGATATCTCTGTTGTTCTGTTGTGATGATCCGTGTGCCGTCCCAGTCTCTTGTACAGCCATCTAAAATGGCTGATTCCTTTACTGTGTTTTTGCATCTTGTTTCACTAATCTACTGGTTTTATGAGTCACTTACAGTCATTATTATAAGATAAATTAAAAATAACGTGTTCTGTTGGCCCAAACAGCACAACCCAAATAAACTCATGCTGTCAGTAATCAGAGTGTTGGTCATTCTGCCATCCTTCAGATGGTCATTCCACTCCAACGTCAACGTAACATCAAATGTAACTCCCCTGATCTGTTTGGGCCAACCAATCACATCAGTCAATTTAACTATTGGTCATCTGAATAAAGATGAACCCCGTCCCATGTAACGGGCAGTGGTGAACGTCGTGTCTGGGAGAAGAGGACCTTTGGTCCCCTTAGCACCAAATTAAACTGATCAAGTTTAGTTCAAGTTAACTAAAGTAAACTAAACTAATCTCAGCTAAAGTAGAAACTGGACACTAAACTAAACCACAACAAACTGAGCTGAACGTATTTATAAACTCCTTTATAAGAAAGATGAAACAATTCAAGTACATTTTTTATTTTATTTGTCCCGGTTAGAAGCTTTAAAAGTGTTCAGCACAGGAACACAGTAAGCCTTTCTCTCCCCACATTTAAGAAAAGCTTTCGCTACACCCTCGCTTTATAATTGGCAATAACATTTTTCTTTGCCTCCAGCTTGTAACCCACGAATGACCCGTTCCTGCTTGTCACTCCCTCTTTGCTTCAGACTACACCAGCAGGGGGAGAAAGTAAAACTCATTTGTTTGAGTTGATGTTACTTGTGTGCATTCAAATGTAGGTTCTCTCTCTCTCTCTCTCTCTCTCTCTCTCTCTCTCTCTCTCTCTCTCTCTCTCTCTCTCTCTCTCTCTCTCTCTCTCTCTCTCTCTCTCACACTCACACACACACACACACACACACACACACACATGCACGCACATTCAGGCATCAGCGCTGTAGCTTTGTGCATATATTACACACAAATAGGTTCAAAGCAAAGCTGGTGTCAGCTCCCATTTTTTGCCTCCCAACCATATGACAGAAACAGCGGAGGGATGATCAGGTAATGGATTATTCTGTCTTATGAGCGCTGTTTCTCTCTTTCCCTCTCAAACACACACACACACAAATGTGCGAGCCCTGAAGTTCTTATTATACAGCACTGACCTCTGGATAACCCTGTTCTCCAGCTCATATGGGACAACATCAAAAGGCCCGATCCTTTTGAACTCACTGCTTTCTATAGACACACACACACACACACACACACACACACACACACACACACACACACACACACACACACACACACACACACACACACACACACACACACACAGAGAGAGAAAAAAGGGGCTTTTATATTGGTGTTTTTCCCAACTTCTGATCTGAACTTTCACAAACTGACCTGCTCATTTAAAAAAAATGATTAAACCCATCTGTCAAATAATCATGTGAGACTCTTATTGCATCTGCTCGTCTCAAAACTGCTTTAATGTGATGTCTTGATTCACTATTGATGTGTGATAAATATTGCAGGAAATTAGCTAACAGGCTTGCAGGAGTCTGTAGTTTCCACTGGCTTTGAGAGTCTTCATTATGGCCAGATCAGACAGAAACAGGCATGAGACTGCATACCGCAGTGATGCTTTATTAATTCCATCTCCCCAGCGCTTATTTTGCATATTTCGGCAGCTCTCGTTTGAAACTTTTCCCATTTCACTTTTCAACAGGCCCCTCCAGGTCATACCTTTGACCTCCATTTAAACTCATCGTCATGGTCTTCCTCCGCTTATCCGGGTCGCGGGGTCAGCATCCCAACTAGGGAGCTCCAGACCGTCCTCTCCCCGGCCTTCACCACCAGCTCCTCCGGCAGGACCCCAGGGCGTTCCCGGACCAGATTGGAGATGTAACCTCTCCAACATGTCCTGGGTCGACCCGGGGGCCTCCTGCCGGCAGGACGTGCCCGAAACACCTCCCCAGGGAGGCGTCCAGGAGGCATTCTGACCAGATGCCCAAACCACCTCAACTGACTCCATTCGATCAGCGGAGCAGCGGTTCTACACGAGTCCCTCTCGAATGTCCGAGCTCCTCACCCTATCTCTAAGGCTGAGCCCGGCTACCCTACGGAGGAAACTCATTTCGGCCGCTTGTATCTGTGATCTCGTTCTTTCGGTCATTACCCAAAGCTCGTGACCATAGGTGAGGATTGGGACGTAGATCGACCGGTAAATCGAGAGCCTGGCTTTCTGGCTCAGCTCCCTCTTCACCACGACAGATCGGCTCAGCGTCCGCATCACTGCAGACGCCGAACCATTCCGCCTGTCGATCTCCCGATCCCTCCTACCCTCACTCGTGAACAAGACCTCAAGATACTTAAACTCCTCCACTTGAGGTAGGACCTCTCCCCCAACCCAAAGTTGGCCAGCCACCCTTTTCCAGTCGAGAACCATGGCCTCAGATTTGGAGATTTGGATTTGGATTGTTTCATTAAAAACATTAAACAACTGCTAATGCCACAGAGCATGCACAGTCCATAAAATGTCCATCTTGTTTCTGTTGTGCAGGAGGCTGCAGGTGGAGGAGCAGCAGCTGAGGACGTCGTCTCTTCCGGCCATCCCCAACCCTTTCCCTGAGCTCTGCAGCCCTGCAAGCTCACCTGTCCTCAGTCCTGGGTCTCTACCACCTAGAGAACCTTCTTCAGATAAATATGTGAGTTCAACCACATTCATACCTGTCTTCCTGGTTGCATTAGACACCAAAGCAGTTGTGCTGAAGTAGTTTTACTTGGACAGAATAAAGGATGTTGTAGCACTAACACTGGATCACCTGAGATTAATGTTCCTTGATTCCACTTAAATGGCAGCGATAAGGAAAAGATGGAGGAGCCGGGTTTGCACGCCTGCCTTCACATTTGACAGCAGTTCTGTCAGCCTGTCTCTTCCATTCTCCATCCTAATGGTCTTCATATGGGAGCAGCCAATACTGGTTACAGCAACACGCCAGTTTACAGTAATCTGAGGGCTGACGGTTTCTCATAATTGCTCCCCTCCCCGCCCCCTGGCTAGGATCTGGGGCTTTTCTTGGTGCACTTTCATAGACTGCAATTCCCGTTAAGTCAGAATTCCTAGCCAGAGCACAAGCCTGATTTATATGTGGCTGCTTTTTCCTCTTGGATGTCTTCTTGTAATTTGCTTGATGGATTTCTAAATCAGTGGCATCCAGTTTGCACCATGAGTCAGGGAAAGTTTTTGATTTGAATTAACATCTAGTACATAAATAAATGGGAATGGTTAGCGTGGGAATACGCTTTTGGAAGCTTATATTTATTCACATCTTTGAGAGGTAATGTTGATTTCCTTGTGGGAATGTTGTAAGCATCAACACATTGTTCAGCAGGTAAATAGGTCAAAGTTTATTGTAATAAAAAGCAGTCATGAGTTGAGTTTAGTTGCTCGCTAAGCCGTAATTCTCACTCTGAGTAAGAAAAGCAGGCCTGTCTTGTAAATAGTCAGAAGCCTGTTTACTGCAGTGTTTGTGACATGCTCTGGATTGGGTATGTGGCTCTGTTTTAAAATATCATATCGCTTGTTAGCAGTGCTTTCATGCAAAAGACACAAACAACCTCTCCTTGTTCAGTGGCCTTTTTCATAGTTTAATGAAATACTGTTTGGATGTTTTTTGGGGTTGATTAACAGATTTGTTAGTGTGTCTGTCACAACTGACCAGTGTGTCAAACATAAAAAAGTACGATTTACAGTGCTGTTGAAAGGTCAGAGCTCTAAGAGTGCATGAAACCTCAAACAGCTTTGACCTTCTTGATTGATCGGATCTCCAAACTGCTGCAGAGAAACGAAGCAGAGAAGAGCCATGGAAAATTTAATTCATTGTTTGTGTTTATAGTGAATACACACTGGGTTTGTGCTTTAAACTTGTGTGAGCAAGCTGAAACATCCATCCATCCACATGGGTGTAAAACGTGTGTTTACACTCTCATCTGCCTCTTTTGTCTCTGGGAGCTCTGAAAGCTGTTTACAGCATTGGCAGTGTCTCTGCATTGTTGATGGGAATGGAAAGTATGGCTCATTCTAGAAATGCAATTCAGCACCTTTCCACTGAAAGTTCTCCCCCGTGGAAGCCTTCTCATCACACATGTTCTGCTTTTCATTGCTTCAGAGCTGTAAAGAAGCAGGGTGATCTGTTTTTGGGTTTGGCACATTTGACTGGGAGAAGCTAAGTTATTGTACCCACTCTCAGTGACCTATGACCTTAGTCATCAGAACCACATGTGCTCTGTTTTCTGCCCGTTTCCCCCACTCTTTCTTCTCATCTCCTACATGTACTGTCTCTGTCTAATCCATCTACCCATCTCTGCCCTCTAAACCTCCACTGCCAAGCTGCTGTTGAGTTTGTCTGTTTAAGTTTACTGAATTTTCCAACCTCCCGGCACTTTCTAACATTCTTCTCCTCCTCCCTGCCTTGTTCCTTGGTCTCTGTGAAGGAGGCATGAGGTTGTAGTGCAGGGCTGTCAGGAATCATCGAGCAAGCTGTCTGACGTGACCGTATGACTTCCAGTCACCCACCCCCACCCCTGTCTTCCTCCATTTCTCAAGCCCCGGCCTTCCTTTCCCCAGCTTGTCTTTTCAGCTGCACACTCTTGATAGGCAGTATCTGAACAGTGACTTGAAATAAAAAGTGCTTTTCACCCAAGGTGACTATGACCTGACCTTCCTGCATCCTTCCACTTTTGCAGTATTTACTGTGCGTCACAATTAAATTGACGTGTTATTTTGTAAATGCTGATTCGATGAAATATAAAAAAGAGCTTGAATGGACTCAGTATCTCCTTCTTCCTTCAGTGTAGGCCATTGTTGATCTGTTCTCAGCTGCATAATAAACAATCCTATTGTATTAAATGGTAAATGGCTTGCATTTGTGTAGCGCTTCTAGGGTTCTTCACAACAATCCAGTCATTCACACACACACACACACACACACACACACACACACACACACACACACACACACACACACACACACACACACACACACACACACACACACACACACTCTGGTGGGGATGAGCTAAGCACTGCCACAACTACCCTGGGGCTCACCAAAGGAAGGGAGGCTGCGCAACACTGGTACCACAGATCTGATCGACTACCATCAGCAGGCAGCGTGGGTTAAGTGCCTTGCCCAAGGGCACAATAACTGCGATAGACTGAGCTGGACTTGATCCCACAAACCTCTTTTCAGTTCAGCTCAGTTCAATTCAAGTCGTCTCAAGGACCTTCACACAGGAAACATCCCAATACAGGTCAGTTCATTAAGCCAGTCAGTAAAAAGTTTCCTGTATAAGGAACCCAGCAGGTTGCATCGAGTCAGTGACGTTACAGCAGTCCTCATACTAAGCAAGCATGCAGCGACAGTGGAGAGGAAAACTCCCTTTTAACAGGAAGAAACCTCCAGAGGATCCTGGCTCAGTATAAGCAGCCATCCACCATGACTCACTGGGGATGGAGAAGACAGAGCAGACACACACACACACACACACACACACACACACACACACACACACACACACACACACACACACACACACACACACACACACGAAACATATATACCAAGCAATGTTTCTATGGTTATATTGTGATTTCTTAGCAAATATTCCATGTGGTGAGAGATAAACTTTATTGTATTGATCCTATTGAATCTATAATTAAATGAGTAAACTAGTAGTAGCACATTCAATGTCAAGGAAAGTAAAGTGTTATTATCAGGAGAGGGAGAATGATTAAGTGTTCAGGACGATAGCCCCCTCCATGAGGCTACCGCAGCTCAGCAGAACATCATTGTAACTTCTTCTGTGGAGAAAAACACTTAGAGAGAAAATAAAGTTAACAGCTGAAATAGCAGGAAATAATACAGTTAAAGAACAGATTGTAGAAGAAAGTAGAGTGTGGAAAGTGGTCAGTGTGTCCTAGAGCAGTCTAAGCCTATAGCAGCATAACTACAGAGATAACTCTGGATAACCTAGCCTTTTAGATGGAGGCATGTTGGAGGCAGGGCAAGGGAGAGTTGTCTTTACCGACTGTACACTCCACCTCCCTCTACTCCCCCACTTGTCCAGATCTAGGCTAACATCAGATTTTTATTTACTTTGCCACCATTCGCCATAAGCACTTACATGTGCTCTGCACCGCCCTGTTATTTGCCTTTAGTGACATTGTTTGATTGCTGAAATAACATATTTTGTTTGATTTGTTGTGTTTGAAGTTGATGTTTCAAAGTCAGGGTTGCCTAATCTATGAAGAAATCTTTGTCCTACCCCTAAATCTACTACAGCTGACTTTCCCCCTCGTTTTCTTTCATCTTGGTCTTCGTTTTCTCCCTCTTCTGGTTGATCTACACTCACCTGCTGTTTAGTTGGGTACACATGTTCATTGACTTGCTTTCTTTGCTCTAAATTTTTGTCTCAAAGTTCATTTCATAATCATAACAAAGGAGAAGCAATATTTGGACAGCTACGACAACAAAATAACGTTCCAAAAACTGGGAATCTGTTAAGTTGACTCTACCTGTAACTGAGCTGTTGGTCCTCGGTACGACAGTTGTCCACTGAGCTAGGGCAACTAAATCTGTTAATGCTAATAATATCCTAAACAAAGTAGGTGCATTCTATCAAATGTCACATCACATTGTTTACCTTGCACAAAAACAGCCTAACAAGTCTGCGTGTAAATATGTTTGGTTCATACAAATAATACACCTGATCTCAATGTCTGTTCACCAGCAAAACGCATTAGTGTGGAGAAACTAATGCAGCTTTGAATGGAAAATATACAGGATGCAAAATGTTATGCAATGTTCATTTAGAAACTGTATGTATTACACAAAATATACCCAAAATGTATTTGTTTGGGCGCTTCAGCCAGACTTACACCTTCATCTGCAGTACTGTACTGTCCCGTTTTGCTTGCATCTAAATTTAGTGAGTTTCAATGAATGCCACATGTTTGCACCAACTTGCATGTGTTTAGCTATAATTAGAACATCTGTTGTTTTAATAGTTTTAACACGTTAACCGTATGACAGTACTTTATTTAAAATCTGGATTGTGTGTCTGGAAAATGCTGCTCAGCACATTTTCCCTGCAGGGATCATCTAATAATTCTGGTGCTGATAGTAATCTCCTCTCCTCTCACTTTTTCTCACGTAATGTCACTCCTCATTTCTCCTCGACTCGGCCTGTGATTGAGTCAGTCAGACCTCAGAATTGTGACAGCTACTCATCCAAAAAAGCATTTCGTGAAAGCTGAGAGTATCAAGTTCACTGCACTGAAGTATAATTTGAGATTACTTGTTTATATTAATTCAGGCGGGATGTATTTTCTGTATCATGTTTCTGATTTAATGCACTCCGTGTGGTATATTTTGGGGTAGCGTGGTGGCACAGTTAGTAACACTGCAGCTTTCTACTTTGAGTAGGTATGTTTTATCCATGCATGTGTGGCTTTTCCTGGGGAACTCTGGCTTCTTCCCAAAGACCAAAAACTGCATTTGTCTATCCACAATTATTTAGCATGATATTACTTAGGGTTGTGTATTGGTGAAATTTTGGCAATAAAATACGTTTCACGATACAGGCGAGATGACACAACATATCATAATATATTGCAATACTTTCAGCCAGACGTTATTAGAAATTTTTTTAGACTGAATTTATTGAAGGAAAATTCAATAAGCAGTCCAAACCGATACGTAACATGTTTAACATGAACCATAATAGAGGGATTTACATTTCAATGGTGGAAACAAAACCCATCGCACACTGCTGCTAACTAGCAGTCGACGTTTGAACTGCACCAAAAGAAATGAAAATACACAAATATTTGCATGTAAATTATTCCCAAAAGTAAATACAGAGCTTTTGAATATTGATGTAATATCACAGGGAAATTATAAAGATATATTACCATATTGATATTTTTGATTAATAGTTTTTGATTATCGATATTATATCGCTGGACAAAAGTATCACGATATATTGCCATGTCGATATTTTCTTGCATCCCTACTATTACTATCAAATGTTTTTCACAAGCTTGATTGTGGTGGAGGATAGGGAGTGGATAAAATACTTTGTTTTGTTTTTGGAATACTCTAAAAAGAGCTTCAACATGTTTCACTTGATATGTACAAACACTTGCCTTTCATTTGTGCGTCAGTAAAACATGGCATTCTACGGCTGCTGCCTTCCTGCACGGAGGTAATGTTCTGTGTCAAAGGTCAGATTTTTCCTCTGTAAAAGAATGGAATGCTGTCAGTGCCCAAACTCTTGGCCTCGATGTGTGAGAACGTCTGTGACTGTGTGCATAAGCTTGCATTTTTAAAAGTAGGACTCTGCCAATGAGGCTGCTCTGTTTTGTGGTTTTTGTTTTCTTTTTTTTTTTTTTGCGTGCGGGCTGTACACCCATCTTTACAACCAGGAACACTTTAGTGTGTACCTCTGCGAGGGTGTTTGATGGTATGTTTACTTTTGCATGGGCTCTGCTTCTCATTGAGGTTCTGCAAGCTGCACCATGCAGAGATCAGAGGTGAAGTGTTGCAGGAAATCTGCTGGCTCACTCATCCTGCAGCTACTTTGCTTTAGGATGGAACATGAAATTAAACACAGAACTGTCACACAAAGCTGCTGGAGTAACATAATTTAAAGTCCCATTATGATTATGTTTATGTTTATGTATTTGGCAGACGCTTCTGTCCAAAGCGACTTACAAGTGATAATCGGCATGTTGCCCTTGAGGCTAACGACAACAATAACATTAGTCATCATTACATCTCCACATTTGACCCATCCCCCTGGGGAGCGGTGAGCTGCAGCAGTGGCTGCGCTCGTAAACTATTTGGTGGTTTAATCCACCAATCCAAACCCTTAAAGCTGAGTGTCAAGCAGGGAGGCATCGGGTCCCATATTTAAAGTCTTTGGTCATGACCCGAATTGGATTTGTTGAATAAATGTCACTTAAATAGTTTGTTTTACTGTTTGTGTCTAATAAGGATAGAAATGATGTGAGGTTTTTGCACGTGTTTACACTTAATCCACACATGCCTCTTGGCCATTTGCATCTTTTCTTAAAGATATGACATGTATACTCACATGGTATGGTAACAAATATATATTTCTGCTGTACACTCACATTTTGTAAGCATATATGCTTTACTCTCCTCTCAACAGCCACATAAACCAACATACACCAAGGGCTCTGAGTGACTGAGTGGATTTGCAGCCTCCTCTGCTGTGAAATACAAATAGTTTTGCTGCTGTTGAACAAATTTGACCTGGACAGCAGCCAGACAGATCGTGGTTTTGTCTGGTACATCTCATGTGTCAACACCAAATTTCTCCCAAACTGCTAAATGGAAACACGCCTCAACCTGCGAGCTAGATCTGCTTCTGCCACAGAGACACGCAATATGACAAACAGACATATCACATGTTCTGTTTAAATCTGCATCAGGATATTAATTCTGACCAGCTTTGTTTAAAGGAAGCTAAAAGAAAGCCCTCTTGATACTGATGAGCACATCACAGCATGTGCATGATTGTTTTGTAAAACGTTTGTTTTTTAGAAGAATTTCAGATGAGTCAGAACTTTAATGGCAAGAAATTCTAACCAAACCAACAATGATCCTCTAAGAGGAGCTTAATGTGTGGCAAATACTTCATTCTGACACTAAATCTAGTTTCGTGTTGAACAATGTTCAGCTATTCTATGAAAAAGTAAAATCATTGCCATCACTGCTATTTGTTCATCACAGAGTTGAAGTCTGCAGGTATTAAGGACACAAGAAGCAAAAACCAACAAGATCAATAATTCACACAATGATAAAGGATGAAAGGAGATAGTAGTTAGTTGTTACCTAAACAATGGAAAAGCACAACAACCGAGTTCCTCTTATATAGAATAAGGATGAAGTATTTGTCAAATTTTCTAAATAAAAGAAGATTTAGCACAATTTAGTGTATTTGTTGCAAACTGCTCTCAGCTATCACAAAACCAAAGAGGAGCTTTATATTTGTTGAACTTAATAAGTTACAGCCAATTTTATATTTTTGAAGTCCTTTGTGACTGCATTGTTGATTCTTTTTTAAAACACAGAAACGGTTTCTTTTTTACCTTGCTGCTGACAGTTTCGTTCGTGGCTGCAAACTTCCTCAGAGCTGGCGCTAATGGTGGTGTCACTTCCTACTCCGTTTATCTGTGGGCAGCAGAGGACGTTGTCGCCCTCTGCTGCCCGCTCTCTCCTCTCCGATAATGCAGTCCCATGTGTGATCCAATGAGTAAACTCCATTGTCTCTGTTCATAGATCATAAAAAGGAATTACAAACTAGATGAAAAAACGGAGGAACAAATTCAAGGACACATGATGGAACAACAGGAAAAAGAGTTCATAAAAGTAAAAGAAAGACACATAAAGAAGTTAAACAGACTCATCAACAAGAAAAAGAGAAAAGAGAAACAAGATAACACCACACAAAGTACATGGGTATGTAACCTTTCACAATACGAACTAACAGAAGCAGAAGAAAGCATATTAAAAAGGGTTTCAACTTTGCAGCAACACCAAAGAAAATACCATTTGATGAATTTATTGTAGCAACAGAACTAGCATGTCAACAGATCATAGATGAGGGAAAGAAAGCAGAACTCAGAAATAATGTAGATGGGATATTAAAGAACTGCAAAATACGACACCGCAATATAACAAAAGAAGAACAATCAGCCATGACAGCTTTATCCAAAAATGGACAGATAATTATTCTACCGGCAGACAAAGGAAGAACCACAGTAGTACTGGACAAAGAAAAATATAAACAACAGATGAAACAGATGCTAGAGGACAAAAATACATACAAAATACTTAAAAAAGACCCAACAGAAAGCATTAAGAAAAACATGAAAAAATTACTGAAGCCGTCGTCTTCCTCCGCTTGTCCAGGTCGCGGGGGCAGCATCCCAACTAGGGAGCTCCAGACTGTCCTCTCCCTGGCCTCCTCCGGCAGGACCCCAAGGCGTTCCCGGACCAGATTGGAGATGTAACTTCTCCAACGTGTCCTGGGTCGACCCGGGGGCCTCCTGCCGGCAGGACATGCCCGAAACACCTCCCCTGGGAGGCGTTCAGGAGGCATCCTGACCAGATGCCCAAACCACCTCAACTGGCTCCTTTAGATCCGGAGGAGCAGCGCTTCTACTCCGAGTCCCTCCCGAATGTCCGAGCTCCTCACCCTATCTCTAAGGCTGAGCCCACCTACCCTACGGAGGAAACTCTTTTCAGCCGCTTGTATCCGCGATCTCGTACTTTCGGTCATTACCCAGAGCTCAGGACCATAGGTAAGGATTGGGACGTAGATCGACCGGTAAATCGAGAGCCTGGCTTTCTGGCTCAGCTCCCTCTTCACCATGACAGATCGGCTCAGGGTCCGCATCACTGCAGACTAGAGCTGAAACAACTAATCGATTTAATCGATTATAATCGATTATTCAAATAGTTAACAACTTTTTTAGTCATCGATTAGTTGTTTAATAATAATATTTTACCGCATAAAGTCTATTTTTACCACAATCTGACATCGGTTACAATCTGTTAAATTTGCCTCCAGTGTGTGGCAGTAATGAGCCACTGATCTACCAGTGGAGCCGTAGAAGAAGAAATGAGCCAATGAGTGCCCTCGGTTTTCATGACGTATCACGTTACTGACGCTCATCTTGCTGTGAGAGATGGCAAAACAAGAAGAAATACGGAAGAAAAATAGAAGCGACAAAACTGAAGAGAAACCCCGGACTTCACTCTAGATGCCTTGAAAAGACGGGTGACCTGCAAAATATGCAAAAACCATCTAGCATGGCACGGAAGCACGACGTCCCTAAGTGAACATTTGAGATGAAAACATGTGGGGGCTGATGCAGCAGAGGAAGAGCACCGCGGTCAAGTGAGCCGTCATTTGGAAGAGCCAGCCCGGTAAGTAACAGAAAATAAACAAGCTGGACTTAGTGTTTTAGCTGAGTTCGTTATAGTGGATGTTAAACATGTTTTTTTGCCGCGTCAGTCTACGGTGTTCTACTTCTGATTGACTAGATGCAATCGTGAATCTCCTCCGTGTTGTGTGTCATGCGCTTGCCAAATTTAGCACGTCTGTTTATAAGAATGTTCTCCTTAAGAGAAAAACGGCACAAACCCATAACCATGTTCCTCATTCAAAAAAGGACAACTCCGCGGAGAAAAATATACAGACGAGCTCTGTCCAGGTGAATATAACGCGGCATAGTTGTACGCTTTCAATTTATAAATACAGGAGAAATTCAGAAAAAGTCATTTTTTACTATTAAAAGGCTGTTTTACTGTCTAACGCTGTAAAACGCCTCACAACACATTTTTATCATGTTTCTTAAACAGTATTACACAAAATAAACATTTTTCACATTTTCTAGCTAATTTAAACACTCCCGACTCAAAATAAAAACCTTATGAGCTTCTTACTTACAGCTTTTTAATAGTAAAAAAAAATTAGACTTTTTTTCTGAATATCTCCTGTTGCGGGCTATTTTGTAGAACGTAATCCTCAAAATAAATGATCACTGTATATTGTTAATTAATTCAAATAATATAATATTGATTTAGTGTTGTAGTGTGTGTGCTGCTTTATTTTATATGTGTACTTATTTCAGTCTATTTGTGTTTCTTATGCAGAAAAAAACAAGCAACGATGGACAACTACATGGGGAACAAGACACTCACCCCCAGCAATTCATACCACTTACAAACTCTATTCTAAACATGCTGGTAAAAGACATGAGGCCACTACCCATGGTGGAAGGAGCAGGCTTCCAGCTAATGCAAAAAAATTATTCTGGACTGATATTTTGCACTGTTTAGCTCATTTTATACTGCTGACTGTTCATGTGCAATAAAATAGATTGCAGTCAACTGCACACTTTTCTTATATTTTTTTTCTTAACTGAAATGCATCCATCACTTGTATAGGTTAAATAGCTAAACAATAACGAACCGATTAATCGATTAATCGAAAAAAATAATCGACAGATTAATCGATTATGAAAATAATCGTTAGTTGCAGCCCTACTGCAGACGCCAAACCAATCCGCCTGTCGATCTCCCGATTCCTCCTACCCTCACTCGTGAACAAGACCCCGAGATACTTACACTCCTCCACTTGAGGTAGGACCTCTCTCCCGACCCGGAGATGGCAAGCCACCCTTTTCCGGTCAAGAATTACTGAAGCCACTACAAGAAAAAGGCAAAATAACAGAAAAAATGTGCAAACCCTGGATTCCTACAGCAAACATAACACCAACAATCTACGGAACTCCAAAATACACAAACAAAACACACCACTTACACCAACATACAACATGGCAAAAGAAATCAGCAAAATCATCAGCCCGTTATTAGGTAACACAGATCAACACTGCAAAAATAGCATAGAACTGGCAAAAGAACTAAAAAAGACTACAATAAAAGATAACGACACACTCATCTCACATGACGTCACATCCCTGTTCACAAAAACACCAACCCAAAAAACCATAGACATAGTAGTAAACAGAATCAGACAGGACTAAACTTTGCACAAAAGAACAAACCTCACAGCAGATGACGTAGCACAACTGATAGGACAATGACTCAGTATACAAACAACTGGAAGGCTTTGCCATGGGTAACCCGTTATCAGCCACCCTGTGCAGGTTTTTCATGGAAGACCTAGAACAAAAAGCCATAGCTAATGTCCCCCCAAACTGTGAAATAAAACTATGGAAACGCTACGTAGACGACATACTGGAAATCATACCAAAAGGACAAACAGAAACGCTAACACAACACTTTAATAACATTGACGACACAAACAACATAAAGTTAACATATGAGTCAGAAACAGAAGACAGTATAGCATTTATGGACATGAAAATAAGCAGGCAGACCGACGAGACCCTAAACATAAACACATATAGGAAACCAATACTTATTATGGACATCAGAACACCCTACCATACACAAAATGTCAGTAATCAGAACATTATATCACCGAGCAAACATGACAGCAGAAGTGAGAGACTGTAAAAAAGAGGACAAACACATACAAAACGCTTTAAAGACCTGCGGATACCCGACATGGGCAATAAACAAAGGAAAACAACAAACAACAACAGAAAAAAAGAACAACCAAAGAAAAGAACCAGAAACCCAGAAAGACAAGAACCAAAGCCAGTGATAACCCTACCATACATCAAAGGCATAACAGAAAAAATAACAGCAACAATGAAAAAACACAACATAAACACACCAACAAAACCATACACAACAGTTAGAAACAGACTAGTACACCCAAAAGACAAGATACCAGCTGGACATAAATGTGGTCATTTACGAAATTCCATGCAAACTCTGCAATAAAACATACATAGGAGAAACCGGACACCAACTCAACACACAAACAATAGAACATAGAAAGGAGTGCGAAATAGAAACAAGTCGAAGACACACAAGAGCAACAAAAGAAGAAGCAGAAAGCACAATAAAGAAGTCAGCCGTAACAGATCACTGCACAAGAGAAAACCATATAATGGATTGGGACAACACAAGGATCATAAACACTGAACAACAGAAATACAAAAGATGGATAAAGGAAGCTATAGAGATAAGGAGACGTGGATGTGGGACTATGAACAGAGACGATGGGGTCTATACATTGGATCACACATGGGACTGCATCATTGGAAAGGGGAGAGCAGGCAGCAGAGGGCGACAACGTCCTCTGCTGCCCACGGATAAAAGGAGTAGGAAGTGACGCCACCATCAGCGTCAGCTCTGAGGAAGTTTGCAACCGCAAATGAAACTATCAGCAGCAAAGTAAAAAATAAACCTGTGTTTTAAAAAAGAACCAACAATGCAGTTAGAAAAGCAAAACAGTAAGAACATACCAAAGGTGTCCTTGTGATTGCCATCCTGAATGAACACCAAAGGTTAGTAGAGAGAGTACTTTATTCAAATCTGTACAGTTGTTCTATATGCATCAACATTTTAGCTCATGTTTTAATTTTAAATCTGAGAAAAACGTTCATAATGCATCTAAAATTCAACACCCCATCATTATCATTGATTGATGGCAACTGAGTCACTACGTATTAAAGGGACTTTACGGAGTTTTGAATTTTTATGCTCGCTATTGCCCCCTCAGGTGAAAAGCGTAACGGCAGCTTCAATAGTAGGCTCGTGCACGAGGCGCGCATGCTGTACGTGCACACTCCTTAACGAAAATAACAGCTGAGAAACTCCCGTGTGTGTGTGTGTGTGTGTGTGTGTGTGTGTGTGGCCTGGAGGACAGAGGACAGGAGAACGTGCAGCTAATTAATTAAATAATTTGGTTCTGTTCCTTTCTCTTCAGCACAGCCGACAAAGGTTTATGATGGGTCAGTCTCCCTGCATGCTCAGATCATTTTCTTCCCTTGCTTGAAAAATTGTTCCAAAATGAAAGTTGAACCCACATCTTTTTTATCTTTGAATTCAATGCCGTTCGACGAGTCTCAAATAAAAATGTGGGCATCTTATTACTGTAAAAAAATTATCATTAATGTAAAAAATAAACTAACTAAACTATATTCACATCCAGAATCAAACCCGGGTCTTCTGCACGGGAGTCCGACGTCTTACTAACTGAGCTAAATCGCCAGTTACATCTTTTGTATCTGTAAGATTTATATCCTTGATGACAGCTGAAACAACGTTCAAAGAACGGTTCGGAGTGAAAATGGCTATTTTTTTGCTAATTTGCAGGAAATACCTTGAAGAAAGTAGCAAAGGGTCCTCAGAAATGTAGCTAGGTTCATCACTAGGCATTAGCAACAGCGACAAAGTCGCTGAGTTGGCACTACCTCACTCTCTGCTGCTAAAGCTACGGATAGCAAATGCTACAGGCTATGCCTGAGCGTGAACGCGCATGAAGCAGCCTGCTCGACCCGAGCAGCTCTCTTTTTCTGTGATTTTACAGAAAAATAGGCAATCACAGTAAAAATGCCAGGGCTCATTCTACAGGACTAGGACTAGAACATTGCAGGAGAATGAAGAAGAAATGTATTATTTCTATACACGTTTTGGCTGTCAAACTTCCATAATGCCCCTTTAAATCAGAAAGGTTTATTGCTAAGTCTTGATGAGGAATTTGCTTTGGAATTTGGTGCAGATATAAACATATAATATATATATATATATATATATATATATATATATATATATATATATATATATATATATATAATATTTGTATCATACATTTGTTATTGATCCACACATTTTAAATAAAATCCCATTGAAATGACAATAATCTGGTTGGTAGATTTTTATGAAAACGATTTAAAAGGTTTTTTTTACATTATCTTACTCAGTCTTTCCCAATATTCACACCTAAGATATGTCAAATAATCATCAAAGCAGTTATTAAAATGTTTATTATTGTGCCACAAAAGCTACCAAACAGCAAGTTGAGCCACATCTGTGGAATTAGATCTGAGATTTCTTCAAAAGCCATCATAAATCTTTACACAGCTTTTTGTCTTTTTTTGCAACATTACTTTTTACTTTGCAAAATAGCCGTTAATGTTTTCAAATTAAAGTAATCAATCTTGTACCTGCTGTCCCAAAAAATAAATGTCAACGTGTTGAATAAACAACCTACTGCTGGACTTTGTCTGATACATCCAAAATAAGTCAACACAGAATTTGAAAGTCAAACCACAGCAAGGGAAAGTGGGTTAGGTTCAGTAGATGCACCGTTAAATGAATTAACCTACCTGTTTTTATTAGCTGTAGTTTATTTGACGTGAAATTAATAAAGCACAATCAAAAATAAAGCACAATGATGTTAAAAAGCCAGTTAAGCCACGGAACCCCGGTTTGAAACTTGCTCACTTTTTTGCCAGCTGATTAATTTCCAGGTCACAGCAACATTAATATTTTCTGTGCTCCCTCGGTTAGCAGTTTGGAGTCGGCCCTGAAAACACACTTCTTTCACGAAAATCTAGCACCGGATTAGATTTTTTTAATTCCGTTTTTATGATTCAGTAGCTCACTTTTGGCACCTAACACCATGTAGTAGCTTATTTGGTTTTATTTGTGCCATTTCAAATGTTTTATCATTCGTCGCATTATTTTATTTTTTGATAGTGCTGTTAACTCTTCTCCTATTTTATTGTTTTTAGTAGGAATTTTTATCTCTGACTATTTATGCTTTTTTCTTATGTATTTTGCCTGTTCTTATTGTGTTTCTTGTTCAAGCATTTGGCTTTTTTATGTACAGCACTTTGGTTAGCTGCCATGCTATTTTGAAAGGGTGCTTTATAAATAAATATGGTATGGTATGGTATAGTATGGTATGGTATTTTTAAGTAATCGCTGCCAGACCTACAGAGAATAACGGTCAACACAGAAAATTCAGCCCACACGCTACCCCTTTAGAGCTCTTCAGCACCAGATCTTTATGGCTAGCATCATAGCAATATACATGCTAGCTCTAAATCATCTTAGAGGTCATCCGCATTTTCGGCTGTACCCGTTTGAGCTTTATCCTTGGCAAGTCCTGCAGCAGTCGCGTAAAAATGTCAAACAAATATTTAATGTTACTAAAAAGTCATGAAGTGTCAAACCAGGAGTCAGTGGTATAGTATGTTGCTTCAATCTTATAGACTTTTTATTTTGTTCCAAAATAAAACTGGATCCACTTCTCTTTACATTTCTTGGTAGCGTGTAGGGCAGGACTATTTAATTCCAGGCCTGGAGGGCCAGTATCCAGCACATTTTGGTTTTAACCCTGCTTCAACACACCTGATTTCAATCAGCAGGTGATTAATGGGCATCTGCAGAACCTGATGAGCTGCTGCAGAGGTGATTTAGCCACTAAATTTAGTGTGCTGGAGCAGAAAAACCACTAAAACATGCAGGATACCGGCCCTCGAGGCCCGGGATTGAATAGGCCTGGTGTAGGGCATATATGATGTATTAATTATTAC